CAGAAGCTGTGCTGCCATCCCAAAGGCACATGGTTTGAATCCACCAGCTGCTCCACGGGAGAAGGACGGGCAGTCTGCTTTTGTGTGGTTTATTGCCTCTGAAAACCCACTGCAGGGTCTACTGGGGGCCATTTCCAACTCAGCGGCGCACACCAACAATACTTTTAGATCCTTATTGTATCTCACTGTTCTAGACAGTTTGTGCGTGGCTATTTCATTCATTCCATCCTGGAGTCTTATATAATTTTAATAACGTTTCTTCTTACCTCTTGTCATTTTTTTTCTCTCCATCTCCGTTGCTACCACTTTAACCCAACTTAGCAACATCTGTTGAACTTCTCGTTACTTCCAGACTATCTCTTCCTGTCCATATTATTTATTTTTTTTTTTAGTTTTTCATAAAGTTTGAAATATAGTTCAGACACCACAAAATCCAGCCCTTTAAAAAGTGCATGCTTCAGTGGCTTTTAGGATATTCACAGAGTTGTATAGCTCTCACCAGCTCTCTCATTTCAGAGCATTTTCTTTGCTCTCAAAATCCCATGCCCATTAGAAGTCCCTTTCCCACGCCCCCTCCCCCCAGCTCTTGGCAAGAATTCTTCTAAGGTCTTCTTTCTAGATTTGCCTATTTGGGGACAACTTGTATAAATGGACCGCCGGAAGACATGGCCCTTTTTGGCATGCTGCTTTTCACTGAGAAGAATATTTTCAAGGTTCTTCCATGTCCATTTCTCTTTTATTACATCATAGCATTCCATTGTATGGAATTTAAATCCATCTTGTTGTGTGGTTATTAAAAAAGCCCAGCCCAACACACTGCCTTCCAGGGGAGTCTAGCTTGCTTCACGGCAGTCCAAGGGACAGAGAAGAACTACGTCTTCCAGGGGCTGTGACTGTTTCTGGAAGCGGGCTGCCACATTTTTCTCCTGTGGAACAATTCGTAGGAGTCAGACAGTTTGGTTAGCAGTTCAACTCTTTAGGTCCTGCACCCCCACATCTCCATATGTGATTAATCCCACATACCTATTCACTTACTAGGGAGCTCTGGTGGCCTACTGACAAGGAATTGCGCAGCCAACCCAAAGGCAGGTAGTTTGAATCCACCACCTGCTCCCCAGGAGAAAGATAGGCAGTCTCCTCCCATCCGATTTACAGACTCTGAAAACCCACTAAAGAGTCAGCTATTCAGCTATGAGTCAGTTCTGAGTCAGTTACAGCAACATGCATGGTTTAGTTAATGGACACTTGGTTGTGCATATCTGCAATTATGAAGCACATTCATGTACAAGGGAGAATTTTGTGGTTGGTTTTTTGGGGTTTTTTTGGTTGTTTTGGGGTTTTTTTTTTTCATTTTCAGTGGTATAACTGGGTCAAAGAGTAATTTATCTTCAACCTCTTAAGGAATTGCCAAACTTTTCTAAATTGAGTATAAAAGGGTTCCAGTTTCTCCACATCCTCGCCAGCCTTCGTGATCAGTTTTGTTTTGTTGGGTTATTTTATCATTATTTTTTTGATAATAGTCCTCTCAGTAGGTGTGAATGTGGAATTTCATTGATTTTGACTTGCATTTCCCTCCTGACAGTGATGAGCATCTTTGTATGGGCTTGTTGGCCGTTTGTATGTCTGTCTTCTTGGAGAAAGGTCTGATAGTCCTTTGCCACTACATGATTGAATTGTTTAATTTTATGAATGCTTTACATATTTTGGATACTAATCCTTTATTTTGAGAGTTTGGGAGGCTTGTGTTCTGTAGAAGGTTTTTTGGGGTTTTTTTCCTCAATTCCCTTATTTAGCGAACTCTGGTGGTATGGTCTGTAGCAAGTTGGACTGCTAACTCAAAGGCCACATCTTCTAATGGTTTGAATTCAATAGTGACTGAGGGAGAAAGATGGACAATCTCCTGTTACCAAAACCTGATGGAGGTTTGTTGAATTGGAACCCAATCCATGGCACTGAGAGTTGTGGTGGGGTTTTTTAGGGTTTTGTTTTGTTTTATTTTTTTAAAAAATTTTTTTAGACATAGCAGAAATAAAATAGTAGGCATTGGAGAATGTGATGCAGCAGTATTAAAACTTTGCTCTAGATTTGATTCTTGCTAGTTCATAATGACTGGCTGCCAGATTTCTTTTACTTGAATCTATAAATATCATTCTATGAGTCTTATCATTTTCAGGCTACAGGAATACATGTTGTCTACTTGAAGGTGGCTCCAGCTCTCGGTGGTATTCTATATACTGAAAAGAAATGTTGCCTGGCCCTCTTTTTCTCCTCATGGTCTATTTGTTATCTTGTTGTTGGCTAGTTGGTAGAAGTACATCTCCAGCCCTTTTATGCCTAGTCCGTCTTCATCCAAAAGCTCTGCTTCAGCCTGCCCACTCTGGAGGAGCCTGGTATTTGAAATGCCAACCATTACATCTTCCACAATACTAGTAATACTTATCAGTTAAAATAAATCTGGGAGAGAAAAAAAAATAAATCTGTGAGATATTATCTGGATCTTTTTCTGAGTTGAGCAACTGAACCATTGATGGATGTGTTTATAATACTCTGGGATAAGAGGGTTAGCCAATAGCTTGGCTTAAAAATTACTGTATGTCTGCTGTATGCTCTGATTTGACTTCACCTGTATGTAAAGAGTTACTGTTTCCTGTGCTTTCGTAATGGGAGAAATGTTTCACACTGTTTCTAGTGCTTTAGTATTAGGAGTAAAAGGTTGGACCTGTTTGGCTTCCCCAGTTTAGCATAGAAATAATAGTGGCCAACTGTTGAGTCTTACCATCCAGTCAGAAGCCCTCTGTGGGCCCCAACTTTGTTTTGCTTCTTAATATTCCCTCATTTTGGGAAACATGGTTGTGCTTGATAATCTTCTGAGAAGTGGCTGGCAATAGGCCCTGAAGTTGGAGGACATAGTTTTGACATACTTATTTAGCCACTTCAATTAAATTCTAGTTGTATGAAATAACATAAAGTGGAGGGTTTAAACAAACAAACAAAAAACGCATGTATGTGAAAAGTACCAAACACCATGTCAACTTATAATTAAAAGGCAATGACTATAAGCCCTGGTGGCCTAATGGTAAGAAACTGCACTATAATCCTAAAGGCATGTGGTTCAAGGCCACCAGTTGTTCCACAGGAGAAGAATGGGCAGTCTCTTCCATGCGGTTAACTGCCTCTGAAAACCTACTGGAGGGTCAGCTATGGATCAGTTCCGACTGTATGGTACACAACAACAGCAACAACAGCCTGTTAATAACGTCTCATTGTATTGAGTGTATGGTAAACTCGTTACAGACATTATCTGACTCACTCTTGTTAATCCTAATTAGATGCTCTTCAGTCAGTCAGCTCAAGGCAGAGACGTCTGTGTGAGTGGACCTGTGCTCTGGAGGGTTTTCAGTGACTGATTTGATAGTAGATTAGGGTGGGAGTTTTGAAGTACCTCTGGACAGCTTGGAACCTCCAGCCTTTCAGACATGCTGCTCCTTTGCACCACCCAGGAACTCCTGCAGAGTAGATGGCCTCTATTCACCTCACAGGGAGTCGAGAGCAGATTAACAGTGTGTCCAAGGATGCACAGCTTCTGAGTGGTGATGTTAGAATTGAAATAAAAGCCTGTGTGGAGTCCGCTACATGCAAAATGCTTCTCTTTACAGTTGGCCTGAGTCAGCATAAATGGTATTTGTATTTTGCGTTTCCTTGAAAATTACTAAAATTCTTTTCCCCACTGTTTGTTACTCAGTTGTGCTTTGTGTTTCTAATGTGTCTCTTGCTGCTGTTTGCCTCTTGTTGAAATTTTTTATGACTGTCTTAGGAATTTGTCCAAGTTGGTCATTGGTGGTGGTGGTGGTGCCTTCAAGTCGAACACAACTCAAAGCAACCCTGTGAACATCCAGTCTGAACGCTTTTCTCTTCAGTGCCATCCTCATCTCTGACACACTTGAGCCCATTGCCACAGTCCCTTTGTCAGTCCTTCTTGTTAAAGGTCCTCTCTTTCACTGATCCTCCATCTTTCCAAGCGTGATGTCCCTGATTTTCAAGGATTAGCACCTCTTAACAGCACCCCCCACAGTATGTGAGATAAAGCTTTGACATCCTGGCCTCTAGGGAGCAGTCAGTCTGGCTGCACTTTCTCCAGGACTTATCTGTGTTCTTTTGTCAGTCCATGGCATATTCACTTCTGTCCTCCAACAGCATAACTCAAAGGCATCGATTTTTCTTTCATCATCCTTATTTGTTGTCCATTTCTCAGGTACGTGCCAGATGATTGAAAAGACCATGTCCTGAATCAGGCGCCCAGGTCTTGAAGGTGACATTACTGCCTTTCAGGACTTTGGAGAGGTCCCTAACAGTGGACTTTCCCAATGCAGTACAGTCATGGACGAATCACTTACTTGTTTAAACCCTTCCCCTCTCCAGCCATACTGGTGGGATTCGGTTTCCACACCTATGAGATTTTAGTCTTGCATATAGTTTCAATTTTCTTTTTTTTTTACATTTGTCATTTTTTAGGCTTATTTGTCAAATGCTTTTAAAAGAATTTAGTTCAGTGATACTTCTTCATCCTGGCATTTCAGTGTTGCATTGGGCAACCATACCAGCTTAATCCTGGCATTTCAGTGTTGCATTGGGCAACCATACCAGTTTAGTCTCACATGAGAACGTCTGTGTTTTATTAATAAATGGGTGGAGTAACCCCCGGTTTTAGCCTCTTCTATTTCAGGCCCAGGTAGTACATCAAAAGCTAGATAACTCTAAGAAAGACTTCTTTCTGTTTTTTTTTAAAAACAGCACAAACTTTTATTATGTAAAATTCTTCGTCATGTGATTGGTTATGATATTCACTTTTTTACTCAGTTAACTTGAGAATGAAAATGAAATTCTTCCTGTGGTCTTGAATTGTAGTTTCTCAGGCCCAGAACCTGGTCAGCTTTGGGACCAGGACGGTAAGAGTCGGTATTGCTGTTGAAAGCGTGTCTGTTGTTCTTTTCTCCTCGCAGTAAAGTTCCAGCATTTGTGCGGATGATTGCTCCGGAGGGCTCCCTGGTGTTTCACGAGAAAGCCTGGAATGCATACCCCTACTGTAGAACAAGTAAGCCTGGCTCCTTCCCCTACTCAGGAAGCAGCCCTAGTGCCTCTGTGGTCGAGCTTTCGGCTGCTAACTGCAGTGTCAGCAGTTCAAACCCCTGCAGCCATTCCACAGGGGCCAGATGTTGTTAGCAGTCTGCTCCTGGATAGATTACAGCCTGGGGAGCCGCGTGAGGCTGTTCTGCTGTGTCCTGCAGAGTTACTGAGAGTCAGGATTCCCCCCCCCCCCCCCCCCCGCTAGGGAAGGCCCCTGCCTTTGAGCGGGGTTTCACCGAGCCAGCCCTTCTGAGGGTCTCGTATAGTTATTGAACAAGTGGTAACAGAGGAGGCAGCCCAGGGTTCTTCCCCCTAGACCTTTGTGAGGGGTACATTCCATTCTTAGATGCATCTTTGAGGCCCTTGCTGACCACGCTGACCCCTGGATGCATGTAAGAAAGACACAAGAAGTGCTTCCCCGCTCACTTAGATGTGTCTTTTGGTCCAGTCACAGCAATTTCTTTTTAAAATATTGTCACATATTTGGGGGGTGGGGAGGGAGGGCTGTGCTCAACTTCTAAAACTTTTCCTATTATGCTTTGTTGATGGTGTTTTGCATTTGTGACATTATTTCTTTTAGCATTATTTAAAAAATAATTTAGTCTCTATTTTATCTACACAATCATAATACAAATTAAACACAGCATTGCTTATACAGTAAACTAACTGTTTTGCAGATAGAAACTGCTAAGTGTTCTGTGCTTTCAGGAGGTTTAATATGTGTGACATGAATTGTCAGGACTGATTGTTTTGACTCAGATTAATATTTTAACATTTTCCTCTCCCCCTTTCATTGCCTGCCCTCCTCTGTCCTGCTGCAGTTGTAACGGTGAGTAAAACGTCTTTGGTGTCACGTTCTCTCTCGTCTTTTTTGAACTTTCTTTCCTCCCCCCCCCTTTTTTACTTATGTGTACCGTTAAATTGAATCTGACTGGTACAGGAGGCGATTTTTCCTCCTTCTTCAGCAGAGCATCTGGTGGATTTGAACCGTTGAACTTTATTTTCATGGTTATTCTTTTGAGCCTGTCTTTTGACCATTTGGGAAAAGTGTCCACCACTGCACGGGGCTCCCTAACCCTGTGCCCTCCTCAGCTGACCCCCGAATACCACCTGCCCCCATGCCCTTGTTCCTTCTGGCCATCGCTCCAGAATCTCCCTCTTGTCTTTATTTTGCTTCTCCATCTTTTGTCTCCGTGCTCCGTTTGCTCATGAAAACCGCACAGCTTCTTTACTTCAGCTCTGCGTGCTGCTCCGCAGGTAGGATTGGTTAAATTTCAAAGACGCAGTGTCTCGTGTTCCTGAAGAGAGATAGCTTTGTCTCTTGGAAGTTCTGGCTGTTTGTAGAGCCAAAGCGTCGTGGCTGGTGGGGGTGGGGGATCCCCAAAGAACCCTGTTAAAGACCCCCTCTCACGTTGCTGTTGTCTTTTCTGCAGAATGAATATATGAAAGACGATTTCTTCATTAAAATTGAAACTTGGCACAAACCGGACTTGGGAACATTAGAAAACGTAAGTTTCAGCTCTGGGCTCTGCGTTGAGTACAGAACGCCTCTGGAAACTGAAAGAATATCGTCTACTTTGCCACCGCCAGAGTGGTGGTGCCTGTGTTAAGGCTAGACTTGCCCATACCTGACTCGGGTGTCAAGGGGAAACAAGCAAAAAACCGCGCGCGCGCGCACACACACACACAGAGCGCTAGAGCTAGAGAGCTTGCTCTTTGTTCAGCGACTCTCTTTATTCTTGGTAACAGAGAGAGCGTAGATAATCAGAATTCACAGATAATCCCCAGTCCAATTTTAGCCTTTAGTTTAGATTACTTGAGGTATCTCTGTGTATTTGCCAGAGCTGATTTATGTAGCATAGCTGGTACTTGGAATGTCTTATCTCCGTTCCTGTTTGCTGGCATCCACATTGAGTGTCAGAAAAATCACCAGAAAGCAGGTGGTAGAGAAGACGGCACCTTGAACAGCTGGAAACAGGTTGTCCAGCTCACTGTTACTACAGGTTGATAAACATTTATTCCACCAGGAAATCTACGTTAGCTAGCACTCAAAGCAGCAATGGTCACTGACTTGGGTTTTCTGGTTTTTAGGGGACTTGGGGTGGGGACATACACATCTGTTACAGGGTTTATGATGGTCGTTGCCCTGTAATTCTGGTGCCATTATGTTGATTTTTAACTCATGGTGACATGTAGGACAGAATTGAGTGGCGCTATAGGGTTTCCAAGGCTGTAAGGAGAATTGCATTGGGAAAATCTGCTATCAGGGACCTCTCCAGGGTACTTCAGAGCAGTGAATCAGTTTTGAGACTAAGGTGCACCTAATGCAGGCCATAGTCTTTGCAGTTACTTGCTATGCATCAGAAAGCTGGACAGTGACTAGGGATGATAGAAGGAGAATTGATGCCTTTGAGCTGTGGTGCTGGAGAAGAGTATTGAATACACCATGGACTGTTTGGAGAGCAAACAGGTTTAACTTGGAGGGATGAGACCAGGCTGCTCCTTGGAGGCAAGGATTCTGAAGGATCTGACATACTTTGGGCATGTTGCAAGAAGGGACCATCCCTTGGAGAGAGACATCATGTTTGGAAGGGTGGAAGGACAGTGCAAGAGAGGATGACTCTGGATGAATCCAGATGGATTGACTCAATGACTGAGATAATGGGGGCAGGTGTTTCAGAGACAATAGGGTTGGCACAGGACAGAGCAAGGTTCAGACTTTTGTACATAGAATCACTATGAGTCACAAGCGACTTGACAGCACATAACAATAGTTTCACAGAAGCTGACTGCCACACCTTTCTCTTGTCAAGTGACCTGATGCATTTGAACCATTAGGTTTTGGGGGTTTTTTTGTTTGTTTTTTTAGGTTTTGGGGTTTGTTTGTTTTTTTTTATTAATCCAGGAGTACTTAACCATAGTGCAACCAGAATGCCTTTGGTCCGGGTACAGTGGCCATCCAAAGGGTGTGTCCTAGGCCAGCAGGACCAACATCGTCCAAGAACTTAGAAATTCAGATTCCCAGGTTCTGACCTGGACATGCTGCATTGGTTTTTCTGAGGGTGGGGTCCCATTGTTTGTGATTTAAGAGGGATTCTGGTGCCCGCTTGAGTTTGAACTGCTGTTCTAACCTGATGATAATGCTGTTACAGGGGACTCAGTCAGTAATAGTTATTATAGGGCATTTTCTTACTGCAGATATACGGCGTCATCTTTGTACACTGGTTTCTTGTCACTGTCATTTTTTTTATGTCAATTAGTATAACTTCTGAGATATCATTTACTGTGCTTGAGTCTTTCCTCCCAATGATCTTTTCATATTTTGTCTTTTTCCTATGCAACCCTCTAAAAGTTGGGCTCTGAATGAGATGCTCTGGTGTAGATTTTAACCCGCCCTTTTCAGCTTCCAAATGGACGAAACTTGTTCAGTTTTTCAATACTTCTTAGTTAGATCTCCAAAGCAGTTTCGAAAATGAGTGAACAACACACAATGTAGAGGATAAAAGTGATATATGGAAGCTAAATGGAAGAGCTTGGTGGTGGTGGTGGTGGTTAGATGCTGTCGAGTTGATCACACTTGTAGCAGCCCTGTGAACAGCAGACCTGGACCGCCCTTAACATCCTTGATACGCTTGAGTCCATTGCTCGAGCCACTGAGAATAGTTTCAGGATAATCAAATTCAAGAGTAGCTTTAGATCACGTAGTATGGCTTTTTGAAATCTAGTTATGATGGCATTGTGTAGGCCTTTTATGTTACAAGAGCGTTGTCATATCGCTTAAATTACATTTGATACATAAATCATCTCTCAGGAGAGGCAGGAAATGATGACAGATTTCTGTTCCTTTGACACCTTCCTCATCCCGCACCTCTTATTTGAAATTATGAGGGTGTAAAAAAAGAGCAAGAACTGCGTGGAGGCAGCCATATCTGACCTTTACCAGCAGCTTCACAAAGGGATGTTGTCCCCATCAACAACACAGAATCAATTTCCATGATGTTAGCCATGCCCATATGTGCCCACACTTTTTTACACTCATCCTGTCACTAATCTTACTGTTTAACTGGCTCCAGAATCCACTGTGGTTGCTCACAGACCCTAGTATGGAAGTCAAAAGGCTATAATTCAGGTTGGTAGAAGAAAACAGTCTGGATATATTCTGAAATGTGCTTCCCAGGAGTCTCAGGCATGAGTCTTGTGGCTTTAGGCCAATGTTACTGAGCTCTCAGTCCTGCCAATTATAGATCTCCACCCCTCTTAGCCCACCTCACGGCTCAGTCCTCCAAGAGACTTGGGTAGAACCCTCTTAGCTCCAGTTTTGTGGGGGCTATAGCAGTCCCAAGGTCTACTCCATCCCGTGTCGGGCCCATGGTTCTCTACTGTGGCTCCTCCAGTAGACTTTAGTCTGGCTGGTGCAAAAATTCTGGCCCTGAAGGACGCACTACGTCCTCTTATTCTTTGCTGGTGGGGAAGAGTCTCTGATTCTTCTGCTGGAATCCCTCAGTTTAATAACATGACTAGCCAGCCCCCTTGTGGATAGGCTAACACGCCCTGTTCGCATATTTCTGCTCATCTGCATGGCAAAGTCAGACATGGCTAGAGAACGCATTTTCAGCAGTTAACTCTTGATATCACAGAGGCGGAGCAGAAGGTTAACATATACTTGAATTTTCTACCCCCATTCCGCATAATATATCTTGAGATAACAATTACATGTGTAAATGAAATTGTGTGACTTAACAAGAATTGGTCTATTCAGGACCTATTTTGTTCTTCTTTGTTGCTTACAGGTACATGGTTTAGATCCTAACACGTGGAAAACAGTTGAAATTGTCCACATAGATATTGCAGATCGAAGTCAAGTTGAACCGGCAGTAAGTACTTGATGACATATTTATAGTCTCTTACATCATGAGATCTAGAAAGTCTTCCCTTTATCTTGAATGTGGTTTGCATTATCACACTGGAAACATAATTGGGGCAAATGTAATTGGGTAGCAAAAAAAGAGCGTAATTGATTTGATTTTGTGAGTGTATCTCAGCTTGTTAAGAATCCCAGTATCCTAGAGTACAGTGGGCTTGTTTTCATTGAAAAACCAGAAAATATTTCTTAAAAGAATTTTCCTCTGAGCTTCTGTAGATAATGTGGTCCCTTGTGCTTTTAAAGTATTAACTTAGAAAAGCAAAATTTTAATTTGGATACAGATTATCAGCAACTCCGCTGGAGCTGAAATGACCATTTGTAGACAGTGGGTGAGGATGGATTTCTGTCCGATTCGGAAGCTGTTTCCGCTTTCGGTTTTGATTATTAGATGTATCAACTCCAGGCATTTGCGTTGGAGTGTTCTCCCCTCCCCCAGTATAGGAATGCATAATACTTTTTTTCTTCCCCTTCGTTTTGCAGCCATTCATAAATAATATTTAGCTCTAGTTTCATAATACGCTGTGTGCTGCGTGGCCTAGCGAGCGTAACTGCGGCCTCTTAGATGCTAGGAGAACCATTGGTCCTGCTTCTCCTGGTGTGAACCGGCTGAAGCTGTGGATGGAGTGTGGCACCGTCTTGTCTGCTGTGTCCAAGCACAGCGTGTTCCATGACCTTTCCCTTCCATTCCTGGTTTTTAGTATTTATTCCTTGAACTTGAGCAATGTTCTAAGTGCAAAGAAGTCGCTCTGGAACACTAAAGTTTAGTTTTGCTTTTGAGATTGAAAGGTAAGTCTTGGAAACCAAAGATCTCCGACCCTTCTGCTAGAAATCCCTGGGGATGGCGCTGCCCGTGGTGACCATTCTGCCAGAGCCCCTTCCCTGCCTGGAAGTGTGAGCACGAAGGTGGCTTCTGGGAGTGACCGTGGCTGCAGTTTCCACAGACAGCTCCCTGTGTAACCCAGTACCCCCTCACTAACCCAGAACTCAGCTACTGAATGACTTCTGATTCATCATGGTCCTCAATCGCATTTAAAGCACTGTAAATCTTGGTGGGAGCCGACTGGCCCCCTTCCTCTCTCAGAGCAGCTGCTGCTGACAGGTGCTGAGGTGGAAAGCACACACGTGCCCAGGGACCGAGGGGATGGCTCTCTGAGGCAGTGTTAGGGTGAGCAGGTTGTGTGTGAGAGAGAAAACAGATCAGCCCAAAAGAGGAAGGTCTGCAGTGCGAGACCAGGAGCTATGACTGAGAACAGACAGAGAACAGAGCAAATACGAATTCCAGCTCTGGCACCTGCTTGCTGGTTAACCTTTGACAGGTTACTTCTGCGTGTATGTTTCCTCTTCTGTGCAGCAGGACTAATGGTCTCCCAGGATTACATGAGTTAATTTGTGTGAAGTGCTCCAGGCAGCACCTAGCTCGACAGCCATGATTATTCATAACTGCAGCCAGCATGGGATCTCTGTCCACATTCACACCAGGATTTGTCTGGGGAGGAACTGTTGACAGAGAGAGAGTGAGAGAGAGAGAGAGAGAGTGTGTGTGTGTGTGTGTACACAGTTTTGCTTTCCAGAGTTCATAGTGCTTATTTTCCAAGTGGCATTTTCGAGATTACTCCAATCTGTGTTTATTTTAAAGCCGAGGACTTTGTGTGTGTGTTTTCTCAGTGATAACAACTACAAAGCACCACAGTTACTGTACAGAGATTCTCCAGTCTCTGACGTTAGAAGGAGGAGCTTCGATGTGCATGGCTGTCAGCAGTAGCAGAAAAAGCATCAAGTCACCTGGGTGTTCGAATGCAGCCTGGCTGGGTGGTGGGAGGAAAGCCTGGTTCAGGGCCTCCTGGGAGGAGGTGAGAGGGCCCCCTTTGGGGGCAGAGACCCGGAGCCTTCCCTTCCTCAGCTCCACACACTTGTAGCCCAAACTATCACCCACACACTTTTTGCCTTTAGATTCCACCCCACCGATTTGGCCTTGACAAGTTAATGTTTGCCTTTGGATTAGCTTCTGTTGCAAACACCTGGACGCCAGGCCAGTGTTACTTCTACCCTCTCTCCACATCCACCCCAGCTCCAGTTTAGTTTCTGTCAAGTTCATTTGATTCTTTTGTGGTTTGTTTTTTGGTTTTTAATGTCATTTGGTTTGAAATTGCTAGTGCATAGTTTGGGAATAAAAGAAACACCCTTAAGGGAGCTCTGGTGAGTGGCAAGAAGCTGCACTACAATCCCAGAGGTATGCAGTTCGAATCCACCAGATGTTCTGCTGGAGAAGGAAGGACAATCTCTTCCTGTACCAACCAGATCTGATTTGATGGTACACACAAAAAATAATTAAATTTTTCAAAAACTTAAAAAAACATCTTTACAGGCATATTTGGCAGATGTTAAAATGACACTGTTGTCACAGCAGGCAATGAGCCTGCCCGGTCCTTTTGACCTCTTTAGCACTGGAGAAGAGGTCCAGGATTGTACTGTCCCTTCAAGAAGCTGAGCATCTGGGTGAGATGGGGAAGATGGTAATGAATGCCAGAGACTCATGCATAGAAGTACGTACTGCAGGAGGTGAGAGACCCCAAGGTCTGTTCAGACACAAGTCCGGAAAGGGCGTGTCAAAGAGCCACACCCAGAATGCTGAGGGGGTGGGGGTGGAGCCGGGGAGCAGTCCATCTTCCCATATGTCCCCTGGAACACACTGGACTTTTGGTTTTGCTTTTTTTTTTTTATACTGGTTTATTTACTAAGTTCATATACATTGTTTTTCATACTGTTTATACATTTTTCTATTTCCTTTGAACCGCAGAGGGAAGAAACTGTGCCCTGTTAACCCCTTTCTTACCTGCTCCTAGAACAGTGCCTGACATACAGCAGAGACTCAGTAAATGCACGTTGAGTGAATGAACCATAGGCAGACCCAGTAGAAAAGAAAGAATAAATGCATTAACCAGCTCTGGAGAGAGAGTCAGGGTAGCCTTTCTAGAATTGAAGGGTCCTTAGGTCCTAGGACTCTGTGTATCCAGACTCCACTTTGCACACTGAGAGCTGGACAGTAACTAAGGATGACAAAAGAATTGATTGCCTTTGAACTGTGGTGTTGGAGGAGAATACTGGATATCTCATAAATTGCCAAAAGAACAGACAAGTCAGCCTTGGAGAGAGTGCAGCTGGAGTGCTGCTTGGAGGCAAAGATGATGAAGCTTCATCTCACATTCTTGATTGTTGTTGTTATGTGCCGTCGAGTCGTTTGCGACTCATAGCGACCCTATGTACAACAGCCCTAAACCCTGCTCTGTCCTGTGCCAATCGCACTGCCTCCGACCACCCATCCCGATTATCCCCAGTCAAAAATATAGAACGCTTCATGAATTCCTTGTAGAGGGACATTGTGCTTGGGAGAGTGGAGAGATGGGAAAAGAGAAAGACCCTCAGCCAGTGGATTGACACGGTGAGTAAAGCAACGGGCTTGAGGGTGTCAGAGATGACAAACATGGCACAGGACAGGACAGAGTTCACATCTGTTCTTCAGAGGGCCGCTATGAGTCACTCAACGACACCTCACAACAACAACGGGTTTCTGGGAGCCATTAGGATTGTCAGGATGGAGTAGCTGGAACATGGGTTGACCTGCTTCCTCCCCCACCCTCCTTCATCGTGAGTGTGACCTTACACACACAGTTCTGTGGCTACCGAAAGCTTGGTTTCAGAGTTAACTTCACTGTTTTTGCAAACAAGGAAATGGAAGTCCAGATAAAACAGTATTACTCAAGGTTATGTAGCTCATGTTGGAACTGGGAATTCTCTCGGTCCAGAGTTCTTTCCTCTGATTCTTGATTCCTTCCAGGCCAGGACCCGGGATTGTCATGCATCAAGCTACCACTCAAAATGTAACTTCCCCTCCTCAGAAGAGGAATGTGGCATGGCGCACGCCTTGTTTTCTCCTGTCCCGGGAGATTTTCCCTCCTCTGCAAATCCTGCCTGCCCAGCAGAGGCTAGGTCAGCATTCCACTCCTCCAGAGAGAATCCAAATTGGAATTCCTCTCTCTGTGTGTGTCTCTTACTTTGCTGAGAATCAGGAGCTCTGGCCATTTCTCTGGGGTGTCTTGTTCTCCAGGGTCCCAGCCTTTCCCCTTGTGCAGCGTGTTTACTTTCATAAATATTTGTCAGATAAGGGTGAGGACCGTGATGGAAGGAAGTAATGTAATTACAGAGTGCCTGAGTGCTGAATACGTCATGAACCACCAAAAGAACAGACAAGCCTGTCTTGGAGTAGGTGCAACCAGAGTGCTCCTTAGAGGCAGGGACGGGACACTTCTGCTCATGTACCTTGAGCATGTTGTCAGCGTGCTGGAAAAGGCAGAGGGAGGGTTAGCTAAAGGGAGGAAGCCCCTCTAGATGGGTGGGCACAGTGACTGAGACGATAGGCATGTATGTGTTGGAGACGATGAGGATGGCACAGGATAGGGCAGGGTTCAGATCTGATCGTAGGATCACTGTGAACCGTGGTCGGCTTCATGGCACTTACCAACAACATTGGAGGCTAGAATCAGTTTGATAATTTTTGTTGGTACAGGTTGAGAATCGTACGTAGTCCGTGGGAGTATAAATTGGTAACACTGGCCCATCAGAACGGAGAATGTGCATACCCTCCAAGCCAACACGGAGCTCCGTTGACCTAGCCGGAAGGACTTGCACTGTTAACCCTAAGGTCGCGCCTCTGGCTTCGCATTCAGCAGCTGCTCCACGGGAGACAGCTTCCCAAAGTCTGCCGAGGGTCAGTTTTGACTCAGGCGCAACAAGTTCTTGATTTGAGTTTGACTCGAGAAAATTGCCACTTCTAGGACCTGATTCTAGGGACTTGTCACTGAGAAATACCCAGTGTGTCAGCCCAAGACCGAATAGTCTGAAGATGAAATGTTTCTTCAGTCAGAAACTGGTTGGAAGCTAATATTGTAGTAC